TCAGGTAGCTGTAGAGGGCGATCAGGCCCCCCCTCAGCCTCCTCTTCTCCAGACTAAACAACCCCAGTTCCCTCAGCCGTTCCTCGTATGACTTGTGCTCCAGACCCCTCACCAGCTTGGTTGCTCTCCTCTGGACATGCTCCAGCAATGCAACATCTTTCTTGTAGTGAGGGGGAATGTATGGTTACATTCTTACTGTAGAGAACAGGATCTTGGAGAAGCAGCCCTACCACTACTCAAGCAGAGCATTTCTTTGTGCTCCCTGGTGGGTCACTCCCTACCTTGCCTTCTCTCCCAATTACAGTAATACCTAGTCATTTAGGAAGCCTAGTGATCACTAGGGGAGAGACCAGACGGATTTATTTGACAATTGCTTGCTCCTAATATAACAGGACATGCTAAAAGCAGCAGCTTGGTGAAGCTGAAAGGGAGCAAGATGCATTAGAAAGCTCCTTCAGAAGAAATCTCTATGCCAGATGGGGGCACAGACAGTGAAATGGCTTCCCATTCGAAAGGCAGGGAGAAAAGTCTGACATAGTAAACATGAGGCAGCAGGACCTAGAAATTTTACACAAAATTACTAAAGTATAGATAGGAACCAAAGAAACTGTAGAATTATGGTAAATTTATTAAAGTTAACATTGAACTATGGTGTCATGTTTGTAGCTTGGATTTCCAGAAGGAATGTTGTTAAACGAGAATCAGAGTGGCAATCTGAAAAATCATGAGAAGAGCATGAGGCAGTCACGTCCAAGGTCAGCTGGAGACCTAACCACAGTACATAGGACTCGGTGGTGAGCCACACACAGCTCACCTATCTAGATAGCACCACCTCTGCCCAAAGTTATCAAATCATCCTAATGAGACCACACATTGACAGGACAATCTTTAGGATTTCTCTAATGTAATTGATGTCTGGTTTTCAAGACACCAGGTGCCCACCAAAGCCACTCTATCACTCCCCTCCTCAGGTGGACGGGAGAGAAAACGTAACAAGACTCTTGTGGGTCAAGATAAGGACAGGGAGAGATCACTCACCAGTTACTGTCACAGGTAAAACAGACTCTACTTGGGGAAAATTAATTTATTACCAATCAAAATCAGAGTAGGATAATGAGAAATAAAAACTAAATTTTAAATCACCTTCTCCCCACCCTTCGCTTCTTCCCAGGCTCAACTTCACTCCCCATTTCTCTCCCTCCCCACCAGCAGCACAGGGGAACAGGGAATGGGAGTTGGGGTCAGTTCATCATACGCTGTCTCACTCTGAACATTCCCCCCTTCCTCCTCCTTCCCCCAGCTTTACATGCTGAGCATGACATCATACGGTGTGGGATCTCCCTGGGGTCCGTTGTCCTGGCTGTGCCCACTCCCAGCTCCTTGTGCCCCCTGCAGCCTCCCCACCTCGAGCAAAGGCCCTGGGCTCTGTGTCAGCCCTGCTCAGCAGCAACAAAACCATCCCTGGGCTATCAGCCCTGTTACAGCACAAATCCAAACCATAGACCCATGCTGGCTACTGTGAAGAAAATGAACTCTGTCCCAGCCAAAACAGCACAGCAAAGCAGTGTTTTCCATATTAACTTTAGCACAATTTATTAACAGTAGCAAAAGTAAGTTTTCGTTCTTGATCATCAGACTAGGACACTGCAATTAGTGTCTTCTGTGACTGGTTCCTCTCTTGCCTTAGGCTCAACATTGTGGAAATTATCGAGACTCTGCAGTGTTTCCTTTGCATAAGGGGCTACCTAGCTTTTTCTGGAGATTTTGTCCTGCCATTTGCACCCCATTTGCACACCAGTCGTACTGGCGTTGAGCACAGTTTTTGGTGTCACTGTGCTGCCTGTCAGTAGTCTCAGGTGTCTTGGCAGAGCAGGAAATTGATTTTGCCGGCTCGCTGACAAAGCTGTCAGAGACCATTTCAGAGATAAATACTGGGGAATTATTTTATCACAAGATGGCTAGGGCTTAACCAGAAAACTAAGTTTACTATGAAAAGCACAGCTGCACAAGTTTGCTTGATCAATAGAATCTGACCAGATTGATCAGGACACAAGTAGTTAAACACAGAAATAAGGTAAGTGACCTTGGGAAACTTCAGCTAAGAATTAATTTCTTCAAAGTCATCCAGTAACCCTTAGGATTCTCTCTTGCTGTCAGACTGATCAGAAACATAACCGCCTTTCGCTTTATTGGTACACCAGAAAATACATGGCTTACACATAGCTCTAACATCATTAAAAACCCAGGCCCAAACTGGTTTCATGTAAGATAAAACAACAGAATCCAAGCTAGCACCAAGAAACACAGTTATTCAATTGTAAGTAACCACTTCCAAGAAACAGCACACGAGAGCTGTTCAACAGTCATGCTACTTGCATTACAATACATGTGACAACTTGATTTATCAAACTCAGTTTTGAGAACAGTTCTGTATTTGTAGCCTGAGGACAGTTGGAATAGTGCGTGTGGAAACTGATTTCCTAAACAAGAATAGTGCAGGCAAAGACCTGCAAAGATCTAGCCAGACAGCAAATACAATTCATATCCTACAGCTTCTACCAGCCTCAGTAAGAGGCACATTTTATATCAGAGAAAGATACTTTTAATCAGAGAAAAATACTGATCTACATATTTAATCTCTTTTGCAGAGTAATAGTTATGAGATTGTTACTTTATGAAGTCAGGTGCAGCCATCATTTACTCAGTCTTTTACTGATAAAAATCACTATCAAGAATACACTAAAACATTAAAAAGAATTAAATTCATTTCTAAATCTGATCAAGTTGGGAGAAAATTTTGCAGACCAGTGTTAAGCTGATTAAATTGGCCTAAGGTGATTAAGCTTATTTGCCAGCTTATGCTGGATGAATACTGCAACAATAAATACTACAACAGTTAAATCATTTAAAGGGCCCATGAAAAGATGCACCAGTTTAAACTGTTTAAAACCTCTTAATTAAATTGGTGCAACAACTTCTAGACAATCAAAATTAGATTCAGTGAGACAATTCTGTTTTAGAAGAGAAAACAACAGCAGCAAAATTGCTGAGGGTAAATGACAGAAATTCTGCTGTTAAAACAAGGAAAGCAACCACAACAGCAAAGCAAAGACATAAGCATGCTACAGATAATGTATAGGATAAGATAAACAAAAATCTTGTAACTAAAGTAATATTACTGAATTGTGGCTGTCTTCCTGTAATCTGCCACAGCTGAGAAAAACTCAGTCTCTCAAAACTAGTGAACTTCTCTGGGGAGAAAAGGAAAATAGATAACCCAGTAAGACTTTATTAAGATAAAAATATATGTATAAAAATATACTTCATGACAATTTATCAGTATTATAGCAGCAGTATATAATCATTAGCAGATATTCCATACCAGTCCTTTTGGGGTTTTTTTGGTAAAAGTTAAAATGCAAATCCTTTCCCGTATTTTTAAAAATATTTCCTTCCCTGAGCTAATTCATTCTTCTTCTGTTTGCCATCTGCGCCCTCCTACGGTCTCTGTCACTCAGTTGTTGCAGAGGTCAACGCTTCAAAGATCAGGATGAAAATCTAGCAGATGGAAATCCTTTTGCAAGGGGTAGCTGTTTTCATCTAGCACAAAATGGCTCCTAATTTCCAACAAATAGGATGCTTCAGGATCTGCTAGCAGCAAGTGACACAGATCTGCTACTATTGTGCTGTAGGTTATATCTGAAGAAGGCACTGCAAAAGACAGAACAATCCAATTTACTCTTTATTTTCATTCTAGCACCTAACATTCAAGTTCCCCCTCCACGAAAGCTAATTTTTTAAAAGCAACGTGCTAAGACTTTCTCCTTAAACTAACACCTGTGAGTCATGTAAAACACCTCTCAGGAAGTCAAACGGGATGTATCAAAGGAAGCCTGTCTGACACACCACTCAGTTATTTACACCATGAAAGCATGTCAACTATTTCTAAAAATCTCCTAAGAGATTCTGCTTTGCATATAAGGAATCCATTTAGTTACTGAATACTTAAGTTATATAATCTATAATAATGTTCGTACCATCTCACCTCTTGTTGCTACCTCATCTCTGAACTTCTGAGTTTGTCAGACAGCAAATGAGGTGTTCTCTTAGAGGTGGGGTTTTTTTTTTTGGAAGTTTCATACAATATAAGCAATCATCATATTTCCAGAACAATCTCATTCCAATTTTAAACTGTCATTAATTAAAAATTTTACTTCCATTGTGAACTTTGCTGCCTGTTTCTTTCACAAGTAATTCATGAAACATTACCTACTAATCTGTTCAGCCAGTCTGCGGGAATATTGAGGAAGATTTTTTCCATCAACTCAGATACCACGTGAACATAAATTTCATATCCTCCATCTTCTACTGTCATCAAAGCAGGCCTATATTGGAAAACAAAAGAGTCTTGGAAGTTAGCTGCTATGCTTTTTTGATTGAAGCAAAATTTCTGAATGAAAATAATATAATGTAATATCACCCTCCAGCATAACACCAAGAACTAGAAAAACTAGAAAATATTGAAGCAAAATTTCTGAATGAAAATAATATAACGTAATATCACCAAGAACTAGAAAAACTAGAAAACGCCTATGCACTCATCTCTGTCAAATCTGTAGAGTTGGCATGAGTTTGGGAGATGTATACTGAATTTACTACTCAGTGTTAAAATAACTTCTAAAGCTATCAAGTAAGCCTTACTTTCAGACACCTGCAGAAAACAATGCTTTAGCAGTGGACTTTTCCTGGAAGACAGAACTGCACTGTTATGATAATGCTTTAGCAGTGGACTTTTCCTGGAAGACAGTTAGAACTGCACTGTTATGAAATTAGTGCCATGTCATTTATTGCTTTGAACTTTAAAGTATAAATGTTAATAGTGCCATGTCATTTATTGCTTTGAACTTTAAATATATAAAGTATAAATGTTAATATGTAAGTATATGTACCTACAAATATACGAGGGTTACATAAAGATTTGAAATGCAAAGTCGGGAGACAAGCTTAAGTGCATCACTTGGAATTGCATCATCTGTACCAACACCATCTAACACTGTCTGTCTTAATAAGCCACCTCATAGCCACTACGTAATACCAAGGCAGTATCTCTTGTACTATGACAAATACCAAATGGTCTCACATACCACTAAACAAGTCAAAATCCCTCCTCTTCCTGGAAATCATTTTCTACCTCGGATATGGTCAACAATATTCCTACTAGGTTGGAAATGCACCTGGTTAGGGACTGCTGTTCCACAAGCATTGGTCTTTCCAAGTTTTGCTGTTCCACATTATTCAAAACTGATACTGGATGCCAAACAACTGGTAAGAAGTGATCCTTTTTTTAGTAGACGTATTCCCTGTATTTCAAGTGTTTATCTTCTTTCCAACCTGTCATTATTGATGCCATACTTTTTATTGTTTCTCCCCAGTAAGTCCTTGCTATTGTTTTTCTGCTATGCTTCCATGAGATGACAATACCTTAGCAGTCCTCTACATTGACATTGAACAGGCAGCTTCTGCTTGCTTTCAAGCTTCTGAATGAGTTTACTAAGCCTAACATTTACACAGCTGATGCAGCTTCTACACAACATAGGCTCTTTGACTGCCTTAAGACTATTTACAATTTGACCTGCAACATCTGCACCATCACAATCCTCACACATTTCAGAAAATCGGCACTGCTCTGATCAAAGCAGGATGCAATGCTCTTATCCTGACCATCCCACAGAAGAAACTAAGACAGTAAACATCAGGACGTATCACAATAACATATATCCCGGTTATAGCAATATTGAAACAGTAGCAAAACAGTGTATGTTAAATAAAGTAATAAAATAAGGCACAATCATCTTTCAGTGCAGAACTTTTTAGTGGGAGATGCTCCCAACAGGATAGGGGAGGCTAGTAAGTTACTACATTCCCTGAATCAAAGCAGCAAATCAAATTGCAGACTTCTTAAAACATAGGATTAGTCTGTAATGTTTAGTATTATTACATTTACTCATACCAAGTAGAAAACAGTTAAGAAAAAACTCTTTGCACTTAGTCCTCCTTCACTGAAAAATAAACAGCATATAAACTTAAGATGCAAGACTATTTTGCATAGAGGAAAAAGACTAAGTCACTACCTTGTTAGACAAATGGGATTCTAGTATTTAAATCAAAGCCAAGTTAGAAACTATTGCATATGCAAGGATTCATTAAACTCACTATGCAATAGTTGAGGAATAATTTGAAAGAATTTTGGTAGAAAATTTACATATTAACCTTCTCTACCTACCCCTCTTTCCAAGCCACTATGACACTTAAACTTAATGTGGGCTTTTGAAATGTAAGAACTGAACAATTAGTTAGTGTTCTTCCTACATCAGCTGGATCTGTTTAGTTTATTTTCTCTAAGTCAATGTGCATATGCATCCTGTCTCACAGTGCCATCTGCTGATAACTTAGTATCTCTGCTCCCTACGAGAATGTTTTATTGAAAACATTCACTGATATTATTTCTGCAGTTTAAAAATATGGTTGTGTGTTCACATGAAACTTAGGCCGAAACAAGACCCTCAAGGAGTTTCCCTTTGATCCTCAAGCTTCTACTCCACCTTGCTTACTGACGCAGTACTGGGTAAACCTCGTTACTGTGTGACCTAGTACTCAAAGAAAGTGAAAAGTTAAATTTAAACAAAGAATATAATCTATGAATAATGGCAATTATAATACAGCAATTCAAGAACAGCTCCTTGAAAATTAATTAGAAAAACAGAAATCACTAACCACACCTTAAATATAGAATTTTATGTATGGGGAACTTAAAAAGGAAAAAGTTGTAGTTTACTTCCCCAATAGTAGACATTATTTTAGTTTTGTTTACCTGTAGAATGTTTTTACTTTGTTGTATGGCAAACATCTAATACATTGCTTGTAGATCATGTTCTCATCTGCCTGTAGTTCCAAACCACATTTAGCACAACCTGAATACGTAATCATAGGCAGAGAAGCCAAAACACACTCCAGTGAAGTGTCACCACGGAAGATGAGTTGCTTGTACTGACCAGTTGAAATTGTAAACTTCAGTTCTAAGATATGGGCTTTCACCTGAATCACTCCTACAAAAACAACAACTTCAATCAAATCTGCATTCAGTTATATTTATAACTGAAAGGAAAAGCAAGGGTTACAGCTGATTCAAAACCAAAATAATTATCATTATCAAAGCTATGATTTTTTTTCCTTTAGTAGCAACATGCTCGTATTTTTAGAGATTATTTATGCATTGAAAAATCATTGTGATTAAGTATTATTTTTAAAAGTACATTTTTAGGCACTATTGTAGTAGATGCCAATATAGAAGAGCCCAAATAAGAGATCAAGAGATTAGAACTGTGCAAATAATTTCCAATTGCTTTTCTTCCATGCCAATTCAGAGACACCAAAAAGGGTAGCTTTAACAACTTAGCTTTCCACTATTTATACATGAACTAGAGCGAAATTCTGCAATACCAACTTTATTTAATTACTTCTTAATGTTTAACACCAACCTTAGCCATCTTCTAGGTTTCTCTAGGAGGGGGTGACTGTTTGTGTGAAGGGTATTCTTTGTTCTTTTGTAAGTTTTCAATAGCAGTAGCTTTTTTGCTTTCAGAGAATTCCAGTTTTGGAGAAATACTATTCGACAGACTTTCAGTGACTAATCACATCGCTACCAGACCGGCTGGCGTGGACAACAAAAGGCAGCATTTCTCCCTGTGTTCCAAAGCTATCTTTGTGTGGTACCACGTACCACACCTGTCTCACCTCTGGGCTCACCGAATGAAGGCTGCGTTCACAGTTTGGCTGGGACCTGAACAGCAGCCTCCACGATAAATTCAGACTCCCAGAACTGCGCTAACTTAAAAAACAACCAAAACATTTTACTTGATCAACAGAGCAACTATTCTGCTTAGCACTGCACCACAGACATTACAGAGCTATGGATAACAACTTTACCTGAGCATTTTTCCTCCAAATGTGCGGAGAGCTTTGTCATCTGCACAAGGGATGTTTTGCTTTTCTGAAACTTTTCTTTAAATTCAATTGCCCTTTTGTCATCATCAAACAAGCACTCATAAGATGACCATGGAGTTGTGTGCAGTTCAAAGTCACCCGAGACAGAACTATGTTGGACCAGAAGGTATTTAAAGTCCCATATGTGATCTACAGGACAAAAAAGCAAACAGAAGAGTTTACTTTCTATACCATGGTTAATTTATAGAAAGCCAAGGTCACTTACAAGACTGAGAAACAAATCAGCAAGACATGCTCATATGGCAATTTTATTTCAAACCTGATGACATGTAGGGTTTTTCCTTTCCTTTCTCTAGAAACTTTGCATGGGTCCTCCCATAACAGAATAATGCTTTCATTTCACTTGTACCGAATTCAACTTTCAAGACAATTCAACTTTTTGAAAAAGAAACCAGTTCTGAAATTTCTTGCCAGCTCTAATACAGAAAAGCTGGCAATGTCTAGGAGAAAAAAAAAAGTCTTCATGTTGATTAATCAACTTCCATGTTTTAATATGTCCCTGTTTTTCAGTCTTTATCTCTGTAACACTTTGATTTAAAAATATTAATTCATTTTCCATCTTCCAATTGACTCGGTAATAAAATAAATACTTTAAAAATGGAGATGACAGAGTAATATATTTTAGGTTGTCCTTCATTTTGCTATAAGAATCCAGTATTTGCCCACTAATCACATCTGATAATCATTTAAGCTGTTATTTTTTCCCCATGTTTGCTGAAGCTGAAAGTTGCAGCCAAAACAATCCTTTTTGGAAATAAGGTAAAAAAAAAAATTCTGTGTTTTTCCTAATGTATTCAACTGTCTGCATAAGCATTTTATTAGCATGTTTTAGTATTTTCATATTTTGGATTAATCTGATTTGACTCCTAGCAAGGATGGACATTGTGCTCTTCCAGTAACCCACTCATACTATTTAGCTGTTGTGTTGAGTATGCTTTAGTATCATGTTAATTTATCTTCTTGGCTATCTTACTGGGATCAAATGTTCACAGTCCATCTGTGATTAAGTATTGGAACAGTTGAGAAATCACTCTTATCTTGAATTTCAGATAAACCTTTAATTGTTAAAATGCCAACTTTTAGATGCACAGAATGGTAGCTGGAAAATAAGACACAAGCTTTACATCAAAAATAAACACTTAATACTAAGATCTAAGCCTTATACTTTTCTGCTTTAGGTATCAGAGAATGATATATTATTGTGTCTCAGAAATTACCTTGGTATCTTCTTTTTGCAGCTACATAAAAACATTAAAGTTCTGTATTTTGAAGAGTGTAATATTCTAGCATACTAAACTCTAAGATTTCTAAGCATCTTACAAACAGTATATACCTGCTCATGCTGAAATATGCACAAAAATAAGAGCCATGTAGGTATTATGTAGTAAAGTTAATTGGTTAATGCTTACATTGGACCATCTGTTTAGGAGGTAGGTCTTGCAGTTAAACGATTTCTAGGAGTGGAGATTACTTGGAAATTGAAGTGGAACTGACAGAATTCAGAGTGTCTATACTTAACAGGTAAAGATTCACTATCAGGTCATTTAACCTTTTGGGTTTTATTTTGCACTATAAGCAAACTGGCTTTTTAGGCAGACATATTCAGCACTTCAAGTAAGAAGGCATTTACTTCCTACATGTATCCATTGATCAAAAATACAAACTCTTCAGTTACCAAACAAACAAAAAACCTAGTTTCACTTATTTTAAAACAAAGCCAGGAATAAACCAAAATTCAGTAGTAGTCACTGCTAAAACACAGGCTATGTAATTCTTGCAAGAGATGCTTTTAGTCAGTTACAGGTAAACTTGATAGCAAGACCATTAGGATATAAAGCCTGACACTGTAGTAGGGTGGAAAGCAGGGAATGAAAATCAGAAGTAGAAAAAGACAGCAATTCATGCTAAACCAGATAACAGTAAGGAAGGCTCAGCAAAACCGATAACATAGTTAACACTCAAGTTCTTTTTTTATAGTAACATAACTAGGCACCAGTGCACCTTGCATCTAGATTCAAATTTCTAAATACTCATGCTTTCTCAAAGTGAGTGCACTCAAATTCTGTTGCCAATGGCACTGCTTCTTAAACAGAGGAGGCCTGTTAAAATTGGTATCAAATGTTGCCCTTCCAAGGGGAGTATTTAAAGGCTGAATGGAAAAATGTTAGCAGCTGAGCCTTTTGAAGATATTAATAGCATCACAAAAACCCTTTTAAAGGTACCTATAGATACAAGGACTTTACCTTTTTTCCTTTGAAGTTGAGGGCACCAGGCAGCCCCTGCTCCCCACAGCACCATTCTATAGTGTTGATCTCTGTTCTGTTCTACTGTTAGAATAATTTTTCTTTGGTTGCCACCTCTGTAGCTATACACAGATTCTGAAAAAGTGTGTTAAAAAAACATGGCAAGACATTGAATGAAATGCTGAGAATGCCACAAGATAATTCATTTTTTTTCACTTCAGAAGGTGGAGAGGATGCTAGGAAGCAGCTGTAAGGCCTGATTATGAATAAATGGAAACAAATTACCAATTGTAACATGGAGAATTGCTTCAGCAAAAGGAATCCCAAAATAACTGCATTCACTATTAGAAGAAAAGGAATGTGTGACAAGAGTAAATTAAAAAATCAGTACTTGGACCATTGCTTGTGATTCTTCAGGGAAGAGGAATCTTTATAATAAAAATATACAGGAAACTCAGATTTCCAAAACAAATTATATTAATGAGGTAGGTCTCTGTTTTGTCTATGCAGAAGAAATAGGAGTATTACAGTAAGACATCTTAGGAGAATCATAGAATTGTTTAGGTTGGAAAAGACCTCTGAGATCATCAGGTCCAACCGTTAACCTAACACTGCCAAGTCCACCACTAAACCACGTCCATAAGCACCACATCCACCCACCTTTTAAGTACCTGCAGGGATGGAGACTCAATCGCTTCCCTGGGCAGTATAGTAGTCTCACACTGTACATTTTCCAGTGTCAAAAATCAAAAAGAACTTGTATAAAAAGGCGCACAAGTAAGGATTATTATAAAGAAATATTACATGTATTTAAGAAACAAGGAATGCTTAGCTTTAAAAAAAGCTAGGAAAAATCAGAAAGAAATAAACAAGAAATGTTCCGAACCGAACATTTAGAAAAGAGCAACACAGTTCCATTATAAAGTAAGAAAAGCAAGTAAATCCTAAAACAGTAGGTCAAAATAATCAATAACGTTTCATTCTAAAAAGCACATGATTTATAGTGCAATCAAGTTTTCCTTTAATGACAGGATGCTTACATGGAAGGTACTTGTTACATGGAAGGTACTTGGCAGCTGAGCTTCAAATTAGTAAAGTCTGACTGTCCCATGTGACATTTTCATAAACCAGTCCCTTTTCTCAAGCAGTGATCTACAGCAATAATGTACCTCTCGATTTCAAGAGCCTTTAAAAACTATCTTTATGTTCCTCCGCTGTAACTGCAGTATCCCCCTCTTTTCAGCACTCCTGCTATACCACCTACCTTCC